GAGCACTGTTTCACAGTTGTTGAACTTCAGTTATGACTAAAACAGAAGATTGCTTTTGAAAACTCTCAGATCTCAGCTATTCTTCCTCTAAATTACTTTGTGTCCCTGGGCACATCACTTACCTTCTTTCAAATTCAGCTTCTTAACAAAACCCTGTAAGCCGTGGTTGTATGCCAGAGGAGTGGCATTATTTCAGTGCTCATTATTTCAGAAGAAGTAGATATCAAAACATGAAGGCTTACTCTACTAATTAGGGCATCAAATAGCCTTACTTATTCAAGTGATGACATGCTTCTGAATGAACTTTGGAACTTCAGGATGCTATCTAAGATGTTCTATACAGACAGCACAAAAAAAAAAAATCTGTCACATCTCCAGTATTTAACCATATGACTGCACTGATGGCATAGACATGAATCCAGGTGTTTCACTATGAAGAAAGCCAGGATTATGAAAAGAACCTTCAGGCTTTGTGACTGCAGAGAGCTTACACTGCTACAGTTGCTGTGCTAACCTGCTAAGATGAACAGTCCCTCTGTCCCTAACCTCAGGCCATGTTGGAAAGGCTTTGGACTTTTTTCCTTCACAGAGTTTCAGGGGTCAGAAGGGACCTCTGGATATCATCTAGTCCAAACTCCCAGCTGAAGCAGGGTCACCCACAGCAGGGTGCCCAGGATCATGTCCAGGTGGGTTTGGAATCTCTCCAGAGAAGAAGACTCCACAGCCTCTCTGGGCAGCCTGCTCCAGGCTCAGGCACCCTCACGTGTTTTACAAAGGCATCCATCCTTGATCCAACATCTTTTTTTTTTTTTTTTTCAAGTGGCTGTGCATCCACCATGTTGCTTGGTAAATCCAGAGTTAAAAAGAAAAATACTTTGTTTCCAGTCTGAAATTTTGTAACCCAAACTTCCAGCCTCTGGACATGGCTCTGAGTCCTCTGGTTGTGTCTGCTGTGTGCGCTCTGTATCTGCCTCCCGTGTCCTCCCCGCTCAGCTGGCCGGCGGTCTGGAGAATGCTGACGTTCTAAGGGTTACTGGATTCCAATTGTTCTCTGCAAACAACATTCACATCTGTTCTGACAACTTATTTCAGCCTGATGCAACTTGAAAAGGTCGAGATTAATCCCAGAAAATCAGACTTCTATTGGAAAGGCCAAATCAACTTTAATTGTAACACATGGCTATTTGTATTGGCGTTTAGCTGCAGCCGTTTATCCTTCTTTCCATTGGTATTATTTGTTTCTGAGCTCCCTACTAGAGCCTGCAATGAAATCTGAAATGCTTTAAGTAACGTAACAAAAATAACAGCTGACATCTTTCCTTTTACAGGTTTCCATTGACCTGGGGTATTTTGTGTGCATGGCTTTTATGGCTTTTATTTATCAGCAGTCTGGGGAAAAAAAAAATCAAAGAAGAAAATGTTGGCTCATTTTATAAAGATTAATGGTGTCTACTGTACTTTCACACCCCCTCCTATCCTGTTGGCTTTATCCATCAGAGCCTGGAGGGATGAATCACTCGCTCTGGAGTTCTGCCTCCTACCAAACTTGGATCACAAGCACTAAGGGGTTTAAAACCCCTTCAGATTACAGCAGTTGCAAGCTGTGGTTTTCTGTGTTGAGGTGACAAACGGCAGCACCCTCCCCTTGGCATGGGGGACAGGTTGGTGTAGCACCTCTCTAACCCCCCAGCTGCTAGCAGCTCAGCCATCGAGCCATCAATTGACATTTGAGCTCTCAGATCCCCTGAAAAGTGACAGGACGAGAGAGACTCATTTGGCAATACTTTGCTCTTGTTTTTTGGCCTGGAGAAAGATACTCAAAGTGGTAAGATTGTTTAGGAACAGCTGGCAAGCACCCGGGTGTGAGCCTGATTTTCAGACATGACAGGCACTTACAGGAATGTTGCCAGATACAGCTGTTTAAAAGCCTTAATAAACAGCAAGTCAATACTAATCTTTGCCAAATTAATCTTTTCCTTGACAGCCCATCAGAGCAATTATGCTCAGACTCCTTGTAAACACACAATTGTCAGTGGGTAAGGATCTTCTCTGCAATATATTGTGGATTTTTCCACACAGTTTGTTTTCCAAATAGGAAGGTTTCTGTTTCTTTTCCCTTTCCTCTCTTCCTTCTTTTTTTTTTTTTTTTTTTTTTTTTTTTTTTTTTTTTTCCCCTCTCTCCTATTTTATTTTCTAGCCAATTACATGTTTTTCAGCTTGGTATTAGCCTGAGCAAAATTTCTTTATAAAGTGTCTATTGCAGCAAGCCCTTAATAGAATGTGAAATGATGACAGTGGCAGGATCCATGCAGCTGCACGTTTGCTAGTGGCTTTCTCTAATTAGGCAGTAACTGTGACAGCCTCTGAAATGTTACAAGTCATTGTTCTCACTTGTCCTCTTGTCAGTGGAATAAGAACTACATTTGAGTTGTGATTTAATGTGCTGCTGGGTAATAATAAAATACATGACTTGGCAAAGGGAATCAAATGCTGTCTGTGAGACCTGACACAAAGCACTTTGTGTTCTCTGAGGTGCTCAGCACCTCTTGCAGCACTGCCAGCACACCGCTATACTCACTAAATAATACTTTACTTAAATGCAAAAGGACTGGAAGACACCAGATAAATAATTAGCAGAGCCATGGTTGTGTATCTGTCTATCTATATTTATCTATCTCTATCTGTAATCTATATCTGTATCTATTTATATCATCTATCTCTATGTCTATACCTATATCTTTATCTAATCTATAGTTATATCTATCTATCTCTATCCCTATGCATATATCTGTATCTATCTACACCTGTATCTGTGTATCTGTCTGTACCTCTACCTACCTATCAATGGGAGTTCCAGGGAGTAACTCCAGTATGGGTTACACACAGCTCTTTAACTACTTCTCAAAGTATGTGTGAAAGAAGGATTTTTACATACTCCATTTCCCCAGAGCACAGACAGAGGTCTCCATGGATCTGCCATGTTTACAGGATCGGGTAAGAAACAGGCAGATGCAGTCTTGGAGATGGTAGTTCAGGTTGAAATGAAGTCTCAGAAGGTTGAGGAAGGTGGTAAGAGCGTATTTATCTTCCAGTAATGAGCTCTTTTATTGTCGGGTTTCGTGTTTACAGAGAAGCCTCACAGGGAATATTTGGCAGAGCTGCCACTGGAAGGAGGAACTGGTATTTGGTGAGGGAGAAGTGGGCACGAATACATTACACTTCATTGTGAATGGCTAGGGCCCTCCATGAATTCATTACTTACCGCCAGTGGATGGAGGTGGGGGGAAAATTCCTACAGCAGATCCCTGTGAAGAGCATCTTCGGGCCAGAGGAGCAGCTGGATGGGATTTCTGCTCGAACCTCTGTGAGTTAGTGATGGGGAGACCAGGACTCATGTTGCCAGAACACTGAGAGCAGCAGTAAATTCAAAGAACCTTTCTTTTTCAAAACCTGTGCTTACCTTGCCGCAAGCAAACGGGATTTACGGCTTCTAGTGTGCATGTGTTGCTTAACCTTGCATTTTGCCTACCACTTTTTAAAAATAATTGAAAAAAATTTTCCAATTAATGGGAGGCATTATTTCCCTTGGTTTCTCTCACTTTGACAGATGTCTTTATCATATTTACTTGCTCTTACTGTGTTGCTTCAATGTGTAAGTTGTTTTGTCCCTGTGTGCTTTCTCTTTATCGTTGTTACGACAGATGGTGACTTACAACTGGTGACTGGGGTATATGTGTTACTGTAGTGCCTAAGCAAAGTATGGGGCATATCTTCATGAACTGCAGTGGAGTTTCACCTGCTTAGGAAAGGATCTCAACTTTCTAGGCTCCATCTATTGACAATTTGTATCTGTCAATACACAGCTGAAAACAAATAGCAGATTGCCCTTGGCCAGCAATCACTGCTTCTTCCCAAGGTCAGACACAAAGAACTGTCATTTTTTTGCATTGAAGTTGGATCTTTCCTTTGGAACAAGGTGGCTTCAGCATAAACGTGGCCAAAACTGCTGCTCTTCCAGTAGAGCTGTCCCATCCGAATGGAGCCCAGGCACAGAACCACGCTCAAAGCCCTGGTCGGGTAAGGTGCCGGGTGGTAAACACACTGCAGGTTTCCCTTTGTACAGACTGAGAGACACCAACTAGCCAGAGGTTCATACAGAATAAGTATTTTATTCATGATGTATTTTTTTTTTTATTATTTACATTAAAGTTTTTTTTTTTTTTGTATTTTGAACTCTGCTTGGATACTGAAATTAACAACTTTATGTGACTGCCCACCTGCCCTAAAAGAAATGAAGATAACACAGTTCTTTTCAGTAAAAGAAAAACTGCCTGTCAAAATCAAAGCTGATTTTTCTCATCCCCACTAATTATCATCTCACTTTAGAATTAATATGAGTGGAAAATGTAGTTTACTATAATATAATAAATAGAAGACATTGGGTAATTAGTAGTGCTGGTATATTTCTAAAGTACTAAACAGACAAACAATAAACTGTGAATTTAATCACGAGTTCTCATACAGCTTCAAGACAGGAAAATTAGAGCTCTCAGCTACAGTCATTTGAGTAATCACATCTGATCTGCATTATTTATTAGTTATTACATGCCAAGTGATTCCGATCGTACATTGCCTGAAATCATTCCAAAGCGAGCATGCCTTTGTTTCTGTTTTGTTTTTGAAGAAAAATCAATGGCACTGCATAATGTGTATTTTATCCGAGTTGCTTGCTTTATTTCACATAGAAAATACAAATCAGTGGTACCCTCCATTAACTGGTCAGATAGCTGGGATGAAATCCTCCAGAAATACATTTTTAGAGCTATCTCTGTCCCAAAACATTGATGAAATATCTTCTTTTGCATTTCTTTTTTTTTTTTTTTTTTTTTAATCCCTTTCCCTGTGGCTGTTGAACTTACCTTTCACTCTAGGATGTATTTATGATACACTCCCTAAAGTTCTGTGCGACCATGGCTGAAGCATATTTGGTAACATATCTATTGGTAATATTTTTGTTCCACTTGACTAATTAACCAAAACAGATGAAGATTCAGGAATCAGCATTATGCAGTTTTATTCAGTTAGTTTTGTTGGTGTAAGTCGTAGTTTTGGGCAACTTCCTGCTATAATGCTTTAAAAAGGGAATTGCTTAAAATAACTTTCTTTTTTTCTTAAAGAACCAAAGAAATACAGAAATAAGTATTGGTTACCTTCATTTTCTGCCAGTAAAGCAGGTTTGGTGTTATATATGTCACTGTAAAAACTAAATAAAGTATTCACATCAGCTGTGAACAATTTGTGCCAGCAAAAGTTAAAGCATCAAAGAAACCTCTTTAAAATGCTAACAAATTTACTTACAAACACCTATATTTATTATTTCATAAATAGGCGCAACAGGTTCCATAAAAAAGATTAAATACAGACACAGTATGAAGAAACAATAATACATAGCCATATGTAAAGGTTATAATTTAGCTGTCTCCAATCTGTTTCTGCATCTAATAAAATATCAGGTAAGCATTTGGCAGTTTTATACATAAACGGACTTAAATGACGTTTACTAACCAGTACACATAAAGTGATTTTCTTTAAAAAAAAAGAAGCATTTTTAGGCAGTACAAAATAAATGTGTTTGCTCTTTATCAACATTATTTTTTTTCCTAGTTTTTTGTGTTTATTTCAAAGCCAATATTTTTAATCAATATTATTTGGGAATATTTTACTTTTTTTTTTCTCCAAATACTTTGAAAATATAGAACTATTAGTCAGTTGTTTAAAAATGAAGTAAAAATATGAATGTTTGCCAATTTAAACCTTCTTGTGAAATCAATAAACTGGAATGAGCCAGTTTCAATTACAATTAGCTACAAAAACATTCACATTTTATACTCTAGGAGAGTGTAACATAGATGCTATTTACAAACTTGCTATGACTGCTACATCAAGCCATTTAAAAAGTCTTTAGTAGTTTCATATAAACACCCATTATGAAAAACCAATGGAAAATCCAGGACTTTTATCCGAGACATCTACAGTTGCTAAGGCAGTTACTATCGCAGCACTTCACAGCAAAAACCAACATAAAATCTGAATGGTCCAAGTTTCCTTCAGGGAAGAAGAAAAGCAATGTCCATTAAAGGCTCTCAGGGTAGGGGTGGACAGGAGAAAGAAAGAGAAAAAATGGGGGGCGGGGGAAAGAAAAAGAAAGAAGCAAGACTATTTTTTTCCAGAGTGGGTGACCCACAAGCTCAAATAGTCCTAAGTGCTTAGCAACTTGTATTTCCTAATAAAATGCAGAACTGCCTTGACTGCATAAAGCAATCCATGATGAAAAGACTTCCCTGCATTCCTCAGTGGAAAGGAGAGGTGCTTCAGATTTTCAGGTAAGGTAGAGTGCTTTGTCCCTCTGCACGCCCCTGTTAAAAGAGAAAAAGAACAAATGTGATTTAAAAAAAAAAAATTGTTAAATTTTTAGTCCTATTCTTCCAAAAAAATCCCACAATCCTACTGCCTGTCATTAATTCCAAGCATGTCACTGAAGTACGACTGCATTACCATGCTAATAATGAGAAAAGTCCCAGTGCTCTAGTGGCATGTAGCAGCCAGGAGACCACACCTGGCCCTAAACTACACAGGACTGGGACAGGGGTTGAAGCCCTGGTTTGGGATCACCTGCACTAGCGGGTTGGTAGCACTGACTATCCCCCTCCCACAAACCTAGGTACAGCTGAGAGTTTAACTCAGGTCTTAGAGTGATACTCCATGATCATCCTGCATGATGTGGCCACTTCCTTAGAGGGTGAGAGAGCTTAGTTAAGTGAACGTGGTCACTGATACCTCTGGCCTATTACATTTACTAGTACAGACATAGCCAAAACATGTTGTGTTGGCAGATTCAGCTAAGTACACAACATGGAACACCAGAAGTTTCTGTCAAAACCAACTAGACCAACTCTCTAGTGCAGACCAGACTCTACAGACCTTCCATCAACGCACTGTGTCTAGCACACTTTTACATTCAGTTCTTGCTGGGTTTCAGCTCCAGCTGAACCATACCAGTTCAGAGCAAAAACGAGTTGTTTACCAGTTTCTAATTTCAAACAGTCTGTAGAATTCAGAAAAACCAACCAAACAAACAATTAAAGCAGAAGAGCATCACTGATGGGCTTGGTTCACACTGCAAAGATTTTCTAGGAGAGAGGCTTTACTCTTAATCTCCTGCTTCTTCACCAAAACCCAGGCACCAGTTCTGTTCTTCCACAGCTTTACAGCTTACTTGATTTGGAGTCCAACAGCAGCACAGAGCAAGCTACACCATGCTGGCAGATTACACTAATGCCATAGCAAAAGTAGGTTATGTCCATGCACACAGATTCACAAAGGTGTATCCACGCAGGGTATACACAAGGTCTGCTCAGAGAAAGTTTCTGCTGATGGCAAGTTATGCCCAGGAGGCACTTAGAGGAAATGACTGCGCATTGCTTTTTCCAGAAGAGACCAGGAATGAAGGCCACATTGATTTTGGTTTGGCTTCTCTGACAGAGTTTAAATAAACGTACTGTGTGAAACCGGTCTTCAAATTTGCTTTGTGTTCATTTGCCTTGTCTGAATTCAACAATTTGGTAGCAACCAAGAGCTTTTATCTGCCTTTGCCTTGAGGATTCGTGCAAAGGTCAAGGGGACCTCAGGGTGGTGTGCATGTTCACAAAGCATAACATCCACCTTTTAAAACTCAACAGATACCTTCTGTTCAGTCCTCAATCTTTCCACAAACTGCTTGTTTGTGGGACAGTAACATGGCTCCATAACAACCATGCTGTAGAGGAACTGAAGTTTTGAAGGGGCTACTAACCTTATGGTAGAGGAATAGAACTCCTATGGGTATGGTGCTCTGTTTCTGGTAATCTTCGTGTAATTGCCTTCCATGTATCTTGTATCCCATGCACCACCCCTGCATCTCACTGATGTGGGTTTTCATGACCCACACAAGCTGTTTTCACAAGCAGCAAGCTCTCCTCAGCAATGGAGCATTTGGAAGAAATAGTTCAGATCATTTGCCTCCCAAGCAGGAGGTAGTGGTCTTAAAATTCTTTTCCTACACCTTCTCCCTACGATTTCAGTTCTAATTTTCTAAGGAACAGAAGTTCTCTAAGACTCAGTGAATGTGCTGTGATAAGGTGACAACAAAGTCTAATAAACATATGTATTGAAAACTTGTTCTCCCACAACAGTCTAACTGCTGAATAAATACAGTACCATCACAGATGTACTTCTGAAATCCTGTGGGGAAATAGGCAACAAAGCTGCTTCCAAATTCTGTCAAACACTTGTGTCATGCGTGTTGCTCAACACAAGGTGGCATTCACTGGCTGCTTACCCATTACTGCAGTAGTCATTATTCCAGTCCACGGTCTGTGCTGGAGGATTTCTGCACCCTGAACGAACATACTCCATTGCTTGGGTAACAACTTGTGCAGCTGTTGATGTTGGATTGATGATATTCTGATAATCGGGCTGAAGAGTAAATCCCTAGAGGAGAAAGCAAATATGTTACAATGTACAGAAACCAAGCAACAGGTTGGGAGCATCGAAAAAACCCAAACAGTGTGCACTGGGAAATGGTAGATTACTTTTTTTCCAGGTGTACTGCACGTTATGAAACTTAAAATAGGAGAAAATATGCAGGTGCTTTCTAAGTTTTAAAATCTTTCCTTGATTTGAGACACGAAATACTGCCAAATTCTTGTTGGCTATTACCCAGTCCCAGGGAGGAACTAAAAGGGACAGGGTGAAACAATTCAAAACCAAGAGAACAACTCAATCAGCACTGGGGCTAAAAGGTCTGTTTGCTCCTTAAAGCTTCCATTTAGATTAAACATAAGGATACACACTAGTTGTTAATTCCCAGAATATGCAACAGAATCTTTCTGAAGGACGTAGGCAGCAGGTGGCTGACTGTTTTATTAGACTACACCTATTCACATATTGTTCTCAAAACCCTTTTTCTTCATTCAGTCACAAAGGGACCATCTGCTGCTTCTTTTATTTGTACTTCTCTCTCAACTAAACAGAAATTCAGCCAAAGCTCTTTAACAGTTGTTGGACTAATGTAGTGAATGTAGCACAGAAAAACTTGCTTTTTGAAACCAAGAAGATGAGAAAAAGAAGTGGAAGATACAAAGCGACATCAAACCTGCTCCCGGAAATATCTGTCTTGAGAAAAGTCATAATAATTTTTAGCTCTTTTGATATATGGGGATGTTTAAATGTTGTGTTTCAAAACCAGGAAATCAATTGCAATTTCAAGGCTAGTGTATCTGGTTCATCCTGTATAAATGTACATCGTGTTCCTGTAAAGTTAGAACTACAGATGGTAGAAGTACGGGAATACTGTATGAAAGCAAGTGGTGTCTGCTGAAAAAAACAGACCAAACTCCATTCTGGGGCAAGAGCATACAGTTCCCACTCAAGTTAACTGGATGTGTAGCTGCGAGATCAGAAACCAAACTTAACCAAGACACCTAGTTTGAAACCCTTCTCCTTCCGGCCAAGGTCCACGTACAGAACAGACAGAATTAAAGCTCATAGGTTTTAGTTTTAAACTCTAGAGCATTATGTGTGATTGCTTCTTACACACAGCCTTCAATGGAACAGGAATTTTGTGGAGAGCTTTTTTTTTTTCCTGCAGATTTGAAAAGTCAGCAACGCTACCATTAATCAAGACAAATGAGTATTCTCTGCTTTTGCCTGGCCCCCTCCATCCACAGAAATGAGCTTCCTTCAAACACGCCACTTCCTTCTTTACATCCATCCTTCTTGGTGCATTATCCTCCAGCTCGTCCCCAGAGGTCCTGCAGGTCCTGCCATGCCGTGCCTTTCATGTACACCATCACCTCACTCCACTCATCCTGATCGTGGACTTTAGCCTAGGCCATAAATGAATGCAACTTTCTTCCATAGTCTCTTCCATATGGAGAATATCCTGAGTCACACTTCAGTACCGTAAATGCTCTTTGAAGCCTCACTTCACCCCTGATGACTCCAAGAAACAGACTATTAGTACAGGGCAAGTTCACAGTTGAATTCTACATCTAGTTGTCATGTAACTTACCCACTGCCCTGCTAATAAGGTAAAATAACCCCCACCAATGGTGAATGTATCCCCTGGGCTCTGTACGCTGCCTCTTTACCAGCTTCTAACCCTGCATGCCAGAAACAACCCCCACGCCTGCAATGAATCCAAAGGAAACTGTAATTGGGCAGACTTGCTGATGACTTTAATTGGAGTTTTGCGTAATTAGAAGGCAGAAAAATTTGGTTTGCATATCACTGTCATCACTTTTATACCAAACATCACCCATAAGGCTTTTCTAATATAGCTGTAAGAGGAAACTACCCAAGAAACATATCCCTACCCTCAGGCACCCAGGTTCACCTTTGGCAGCAAAGCCCCTGAACTACCTCTTATCAGTCTTCCTGAAACAATCCTATATACAAGAAAAACACTTTGGGGCCAGTAGCTCCAGCACTGCTGCAGCGAAGCATGCGAGTGAGAGGGCACAGAGACTCAAGTACTCATGCAGAAAGAATCATAGAATCACAGAACGTACTGGGTTGGAAGGGACCTCTAAAGGCCATCTAGTTCAACCCCCTACAATAAACAGTAGTTACTACTACAATAGCAGCAACATCTCTAAGAGACTGTTCCCCCAAATTAGAGGAAGAGGTCATCAGTGCAATATCCATTCCATCTTTTATGGACTTAGGACAAATAAATAGCTCAGAAGCTGGAGGATGATCCTGTGGTTGAAATCATAGAATCATTTCAGCTGGAAAAGACCTTTAGTATCGTTGAGTCCAACCATTAACCTAACACTACCAAGCCCGCCAGAAAACTGTGTCCCTCAGCACCTCATCTACATAGCTTTTAAATGCCTCCAGGGATGGAGACTCCACCACCTTCCTGGGCAGCCTCTTCCAATGCTCAACAACCCTTTCGGTGAAGAAGCTTTTCCTAATAACCAGCCCAAACCTCCCCTGGAGCAACTTGAGGCCATGTTCTCTTATCCTATCACTTGTTTGCCAGCTTGGAACTGGGTGGGGACTTATTCTCATATTTTCTCAGGCTTTCTGTGTGACCACAGCCAAATTGCTTTGGCTGTTTTCCCGCAAAGCGTATGGACATGCGCGTTTGGACTGAACTGACACCTCTCATGATAAGGTTGGAACCATAGATCCAAACTTCATTCTCCTATCTGCAAAATGAGGGGTAACAACACTTTCATTTTGCACCTGGCAAGTCTAGTTTATAACTGCCTGGGACTGGGGCCTGTTTCTTTCTTAGGCCTCGCTCAGGTGATAAATTTTAATGTGGTGTTGAGGTATCTGAGCCAGGCTCCAGCTCCAGAAGCAACTGAGCTGCTGCAGCTCAATGGTCCCACTGGGGCTGAGGCCGACCAGAATGCTAGAGATGTGGGTGTTGGAAAGCATGTCTGTTAAGGCAAATTTGAGAAATCTCAACTCAGTGTGAAGGACTGATAAAGTATGGTGATGTTTAAGATGTAAACAATAAACCAGCTTTTTCATCAACTGAAAAAGCTCTGGAAATACATATCTGAACTGAGGGAGACAGCCTTGTACCAGCTTTGTAGTAAATATTTGTGTATTATTTATGTAAGCCCTTATCAAACAATGATGAAATAAAAAGTGCTCAGAAAATGAGTGCTTCGAGGTCTAATTAAACAATGCTGAATGTTTTTGCATTGTAATGCTCAAGAGAAAATCACCAACTGTTTTGCAACATGCCTAGAATTTTAAATTTCATTTTCTTGTTCCACATTGAAATAAAAATAGGGAACTTGATAAAGATTAATTCGATGTCAGGAGGGACATTTGCTCTTTAATTAGATTTCTGTAGCCCTAGCAGTTTCGTTGTGCCACTGTAGCAAGTCCTAAAAAGCCTGCAGCAGAACTAAACAGTGATCCTCATCTCCACACTTTACTGGGAACTAATTTCATTTCCTGCCTGTCTGGAGAGGTATTTTCAACAGGCATCAATGTTTTTGTCTTCACAACTGATTTATTCATCAATCTCAATGTGATATTTTAAACCTTTAAATTACATCCAAATCCTAAAGCATCTGTTTATTACACAAGGAAATTGAAAATCTGTCTGTGTGATATCATACAAAGATTTTTCCTTAAGGTTATAAAGGAAGTTGACAGATATTAATGATTTTTTTTTTTTCTCTTGACCTCATTCGAAGACAAAGCTTAACAAAAAAGAAGAAGAAATCTGGACAAATACAGCAGGTCCCTGAGTTTACTGTATATAACATATACCAGAAAAAATGAGGCTATTACTTTTGGCAGGTTATGCAATCATCTTGCTGTATACATTTATTTTCTAAAGGAAAAGGAAAACCTAAGAGTAGACTGAAATGATTATTTAAAAAAATAAAGAATAAAATGTGACATACATTAATCTTTTGGTTCTTTGTTGTGTATATGCTTGCAGACATGGTTACTAGACATTAAAAATCTAGTTTTGCTTGCTCTACCTGTGAATCCTAGTGGGACAGAGATTGTAATGAGACTCACAATCCCAGCCAATACTTGGGTGAAGGATTTTGAGTAGGGCAGGAGATGCTTCCATCAGGGCTACTTAAAAGGGTTCCTTAACAATGACTGGGTGTATCTTGGAGGGAGTGATTCCTTGGTCTCATCACTCACCACACAAAAGAGTACAGTACCACAGGCTGGAGAGTGGGGTATGCTCAGAAAGAAGCACAAATGTCTGTGTACAGAAAGAAAAGGATGACTTTGCAAGAGAAAAGCAGCTGCAGCTTCAGATGCCGTTTTAGCCTGAACTTTGGAGAAATTGTGCTAATTTGAAAGACAAGGGTTAAGATTGGTTGAACTTGATGACCTTAAGGGTCTCTTCCAACCAAAACATTTCTATGATTCTATGACTCAGATCATCTGATCCAAATTAAGTAAAAATTAAACATCAAGTTAAACCTAAGAAACAGACTGGAGGGAAACAATTTGGTATCAGTTAAAACACAATACAGCGATAAGATGCTCACAGGAGCATTTAAAGAAAGAAAAATCTCACTTTTCAAATCCACTGTGGTTCTTCCAGGGCGTCAGAAGAGGACGAAAGAAAAACTTCTACATAGTAGATTTAGACTTTAACACATTAAAACTTTAACATGGCTTCCATTAATAATATTTAAGAAAAATATAGTATATTTCAGAATTAGAAGTTAAATATAATAAAAATCAGGATCAAATTTTAATCCAAGTAAGAGAATAGAAGTAAATGGGCATTTTTTACAGTGTAAAGAATTAACACTGTAAATGAGTGTTTACACACAGTAGGGCCCATTTTTTAACTTAACTGTTATTAACTGTTTTGGAACAGAAAGGAAAAAAGACAAATCAGTCTGCTTTGCAGAAGTTGCAAAAAACATTTAGATAAAAATAGAGAAGAATATTTAAAAGAAATTTTAAAACATTTGCTAATGCTAGATACATGACCAAAATGCTCATACCTAAATTTTACTTTGGCTAACAGAATTAATTGATTTCAAAAATAACAGAAATTGGGCAGTAACTGAGGATTTTTGGCCACCACCACTTCTGATCTTCTTGACATTCTGTAGTTTTTGTGGACTCCTGGAGAAGACCACCCTTCTCCAGCTGGCAGTCAGTCCCTCTTGGTTTGGCAGCTACACACACGCAGGCGAGGACTGCTGGAAGTGGAGGAGGATATGGTGTTCCCTGCAGAGCTGATGAAGCTCATTGTCCTGGCAGCAGTGGGGGCAGAGGTTTCTCCCCAGGTCAGCACTTCTTATCAGTTCCTCCTCAAAGTTACACACAGAAGGAGTTTGTGGATTTCACACACAGTGGTTTTAGAGGACTGTGTTCCTGCCTGCCAGGACTGAAATCTGGATCTCTGTGTGATTTTTCTTGGTGCTGGCAACCCTTCAGACTCTATTGCATTGACTCTGTGTCTGTTGGTTTGCCTCTCTTTGCTTTGAGCCTTCAGGTTCAGCCATGACTGCATCAGGCTAAGGATCTCCAGACAGACCCTCCTGCCTCACCCATCTAGGACTTTCCCCAGCTAATTCTAGCTGCCTAGGCTTGGGTTCCTAGCTCCTGAGTTCCTCTGAGTCTTGAGTATGGGCTCTCTCAGGGCACTGACACCAGGAAACTGGGTTTCTAACTAGTAGGAAAACCTACAGGAATACACAACAATAAAAGACTCCACATTTGTACAGTCTTATGTCTGTTGAGTCTGTTTACTCTGATCATAAAATATAAACTGGACGAGGAAAAAGTTGTAAACACCTTACAAATTTTCCTTCCTGTCTGATTACTCCAAATCAATCTTGAGGCTAAGATCAAAGTATCTAAAAAAAAGTCCAGATCATTCTGAGCGCACCTTGGTTTACCTTCCAAACAACTAAATTTACCAATTTTTCCTGTTAATTCATTCTCCCAGCTAGAAGCTGTGTTTTGTGTTCAGGTATTCCCATCTCTAAAGACCAATCTTGAGATAAATTGTTTCCATCTTGGAAAACAAATGCAAATGCCTTGTTAGCAAAGGTGAATTTATAGAGATATTAAAAAAATGAAGCAAATTCATGACTATGTATATATATTACCAAACACAACTGACAATTTTTTTTTGTATACAAATTTTGTAGATTCTTGCAACTCTAAAACCAAAAAAAATCATTCTAATACCTCTTTGCAAAGCAAGATCTTATTATTGATATTCAGATCTCATCCAGTACAAAAGGAAATTTTCTCTCATGAAATCAGCAGAGTTAATGTGCTTTAACCCCCCATAGGCTTGGGTCCAAAAGTTAGAATACTATGGCTGGCTTGCATTCATTCAGGACTCCCAGGAAATGTATAGAGAATCAACTAACTGAAATATGGAGAATTAAAGGAAAAAAGTGCAACTGTATTGGGATACTGAGGACAGACCACTTATTTCCAGTAAAAAAAAAGGTGTGTCTATCTAGCCAAATGAAGCTATGAATACAGCACAAACTAATGTACTCGTGTTCACTTAATCTAGCATGTTTAACATAATATGTGCTGTTCCCTGTTCCCTCTGACTGTTCCACATCACAGTCAGCACCGGAACAACAGCACAAGCCACAGTCATATCTTTTTCTAGACTTCCCTACCTCGTGTTTATAAAATGTGTCTCCCAAAGAATTAACTTCGGGTAGATGTGCTACATCTACTTGTTTTTTGAACACCTCCAGGGATGATGATTCCACCACCTCCCTGGGCAGCCTGTTCCAGTGCCTAACCACAATGTGATGAACATTGTGGCTAGCACAAAACGGTCCGCTGAACCTCTATCATCTAGGTAAATTCATTCATTTGTTCTTGCCATTCAACGACTAAGCCCTCAGATTATATTACCACGGTTTTGGAACTCTGCAAAATTAAAGCTAATCCATAGCTCTAAATCTCACTTACTGTCCCAACATATGGCTGAGTTTCCCCCCCTCCCAAAACAAATAATTCCCCAGACAAGACAAAAGCTCAAACTTACTTGCTGCATTGTAGGTGAATGTAAAGCAGACTGGACCTGCATCGGTAGCTGGTTTCCAATGGACTGCTGCATTGAGATTGGCTGATGTTGCTGGATGTTGAGATGCTGGTGCAGAGGGGGGCTGATCTGAAGGGGTGGTGGTGGGGACACAGCCATGTTTGCTATGGAAACAGTCACTGGCATTTGGTTGTTGGGCTTAGGTGCTATGTTCCTGGGGATGTTGGCATGCATGGCAGTGATGTGAGGATTCATTCCTGGTTGTTGGTGGTAGTGGGAACTGAGGTACAGTGCAGAGTGAGCCTGTGTGGGCCCATGAAACACCGACTGCTTTGAATTCATCATCTGAGGTTGTGGAGAGGCTTTAACATCAACAGGTTCACTGTAGCTCTGTTGAGAAAAACAAGAAACACACAACACTTAGAAGTTACAAAATGTTGCTGTTCTACGCCCTGAAGTCCGTTCAAGAGTCACACCACAGGAAAACACAGATTTGGACCATCAAATTGTCCTGGAACTGGAGCTTGGTTATTATGCTAGGAAAAAAAAAAATTATTTTACCTTACACTTTCCTCTTCAACATTGTAAAAAAAAAGAAGTTAGCTCCTCTGTTTCCTGGTCTAGCCTGACATTTTGCTTCTTCCGAACTTGGAACTGGCATCACTGACCTAATAACCTACACAAGAAAGTCTGACACATCAATTCACTTCTATTGTCCTCAGATTTGATGGCCTAGTTGAAAAGGGATTCACGAGGGTGGGCTCCAGCAAAAGTCTGCCCTGGTCTTTGACATGTCTTATTTTTCCACCTGTGAACCAGGGATAAGAATTTCAGTGCCCTTTACCAGACACATTGATAACTGCTAATGGTGCTTTATCACTTAGCTAACATGACGTCTTCATAAGCTAAATCCTATCCACAGTTGTTGTACTGTATTGAATAAACATGCTAGTTGCTGTCCCAATACCTTTGTGTTAAAATATTTGGTGCTGGCCTGCTGCCCACACCTGTATCAAACATGTTTAATGAGCCACACATTCAGAAAATATAAGAATATTCTGAATATATCACTCTCATCAAAACTTACTTTATGTTCACAAAGTTCTGAAAATTCTGTTTCAGACTGATGCCTGTATAAACATCAGACACAGGAATGGTACCTTAATAAAGCTGGAAGAATACTGCATAGAATATTACAAAACACACATATTTTTCAAGAATGTTGTAGTCTACCTTGAATTCTTAAAGCTTCTAGTAATAAAACCATTCCATTAATGAATGTGAATTTTAATAGTAGTCTTCGTTCCAATATTTATAGCTTGTTACATTTGACTTAATTCAATTTGTTGTTTTCCATACCCTTATTGTCATCCACCTTTTGAGCGCTAATGCTGCGGGCTCAAAGAAATGATGAAAAAAAATTTAAGAACTAAACTCGTCTGAGCTTATAAATGGGAATTATGATTTGCAGTTAAGTCATACTAGGATTAATAGTCAGTGAAAGGTGAGACATGCTGGAAAAAAATAGCAGAAATGTCCCTCTGGAGAAAGAAGTCACTTTGTCAAAACAAAGGCTGAAAGATGCATATATGCCCTTATTCTGTGACCTCCATGTCATGTTTGCTCAGTTTACAAGTCAGAGTAAGTTTCATGTTACTCTCAGCACTCCAGGGTCAGTGAAGTCTATTTGTATTCTTCATGAAGGATGTACCATCACCAACAATCCGCTGACAGGCGTTACTGGGATCGCCTCATTATACGCCGTGATAAAGATGAGAAAGATAACTTCATTTTCCCTAAGTGTAGCTGCAGTTCCGTTGGCAAAACCCCCTCATTTTCTCCAGTAAACTAAAGGATAATTAGATGAATATGATAAAATGAATGCAAATCGCTGTGGCGCTGCCTGGCTCTGCTCTCTGTGGGTGGACAGTGTGCAGTAGGTATTATACATGTATTTGCAGGATACGGATACAGACATAAACCTCCACTGATATTAAGTGATAAACCTGAAAGTAGGTGCAAATTCTGTTAGGTGTTTTTTTGTATTATTTTTTAAAACATTGAACTACTGCTCCTGACAGCATGAAAAATATTTTCCCCTCTTTCTTCATGGTTGCATTCTTAGGACACTCTCATGAGTGTCCTAAGCAAGCAAAGCAAAGGCTGTCAGGTTTGTTGAAATTTCAGAAATTCAGAAGGTTTCCTAACTAGCAGCATGATCAGGACCCTCCTCTTGAGCATCACAGGCTCTTTATACATTACAGGAGATGCATGTTGTGTTGTTTCTTGAGAAACTTGGAGTCTTCCTGAGAGCCTTGTCCCTCTTGAGAACAGGTTGCCTTTCCACTATGTAGCTGGCACGCTTTATCAGGTACAAGCAGGGATAATTGCTCTTGAAGCATCAAAGGTCAGATGGGTTAAACAACTCTCTTGGTGAGGGGGGATCAAAAAGCCTTTGTGGCCACTATTTCTGACAGACTGATACATGCTATATTTCGTTTGTGTCTACAAAGATGCTGGCATACACCTCTTTAACAAAAATAGAGTGAACCAGTTTAATTATTGGGTAATTCTGAGTTCACACATAAGTGGTGAATGCACGGCCCACACTGATAAAATTACAGACTTATCAGATGGTATCGTTTAATACTTCAAATACCAAATTATGTTAAGAGGAATTTTACAGTTTTGGGCCAGAGATGAATAACACTTGTTTTACCTGAGAAGAGTGTCTGCAAAGTGATCAAAAGGGACCATTCCAGTTGTCCCAAGCTATTGATCAGCATTCTACATGTTTCACTACCTCCTGATCCAGTGGAAAGCACAAAACTTCAGTTTCAGAGCAAGTATTTTGCTGTTACTTAGGACGTTTTAAATCATATATGTTCTGAAGCCCCATTGTCCAATATCAGTGTAAAACACATCAATATTATCAGTTACTGGGAATCTTGATAAATGAACCTATTATGTGCTATTCTCCAGCATACTGCACTTTCAGCTTTTTCTAAGGCTGGGTCAGAAACACAGATTTTGTGAGTGTTGCTGACGCTCATGGAACAGGCCTTGTAAAATAGTTTGGCTTCGTTATGTCCCTTTACTGCGCAATATACCAAGAGGTATATACAATGAATAGGTCACCCAATCATTTTGGGCACAATGACTGTTTTCCCAGATTTGAATGGGCATTGCATGTGTCCAGTACAGCATCAGACAGTCTTAGAAAAGGACTTTTACTATGGGTAAAACTAAGTATTAAGAAAGAAGGGATTTGATTAGCCAATATGGGCTTCGAACACCTAATCGTGTTCCCTAACTTTGCAGGTTGGAATTCAGCCAGTTTTCTCTTGCCTTATCCAAGGTGAAAAGCACAAAAAATAATTTTTAAGAAGCTCTCTTTAGTTAATTAATCTGCCCAAAACCAACACAGACAATTTACATCTCTAATTTTTGGCACGAAGTTATGGGATGTAATTAATTTACAGATATATGCAGTTGAGACCAGAATTATAAATCTGTACACACAGGCCAATGAACACTGAAGCTTAGTATCTCCTACGTACTACAAGTTCTGTTAGACAGACAGTGAGAAAAACCTCAATCAGAAGTATGGAGATTTAGACCCACCACTAGAGGGTAACAGAATATCATATTTAGTTAATGGTGGGAAGTTGTGTTGTACACATACATTAGTGAATATACATTAGGACCACAAACTAGAGCTTTTCTGGATAGCCTTTTATGCTCTTTGAGTGGCTTCTACTTGTTCTGGAGTTCAACTCAAAGCCTTACTCTAAATCTTTCAAGCTCTTCATAGGCTAGTGGTAGGGTTTCTTATGGACCTGCCTCTCCATCTAACATCATAATCTAATACTGTTGCCTAAATGGAAAAAAAAAAAATAAATCCGAAGGTGAAGACAAGGTAGGCAGCCCCAGGCAATGGAATGTTACAGAAAAAGTATGACTGCCCTTTAGGCACAACACAAAACCACCTTTTTTTTTTTTTTTTTATGAGAATCTATTGCTTTACTGAAACATGAAGAAAAAGAGAGAAGAACTATTTGAAATGCCAACAGAAAGAGAATGTAAGTATAAGATAAATAGGGAAAGGAAGAAAACAAAACAAACAATACTATACCTCTGATGATAATGAATATAATTATATTAATTAAAAGCACTGGTGCATGACCCTCAGTTCTCAAAATGATTGTACTTGTGTCATACTTTCAAGGAAATGTGTGACGATACAGGTGAGTGATGTTCTTCAGAAGAAGTGTTAAGAGTTGATCATTTTACACAAAGTGTGGGAAGTGCTGAATCAAGTTCTTCCCCCCAGCTTTCATCGAACTCTTGCCTTTCCTTCCAATTCTACAGCAAAGCAAACTTTTCCATCTACCTTCTACTCCCCTGTTGTGTACCAAAACTCCTTAGGCATAATTGCCAAATAAAAGAATTAAATTAGGTTAAGAGGTTAAGCATTGCTCATCCAGTTGTGCTATTCTTTTCTAAGAACTGCCCTGGGTCTAATGGCCCTTCTTGTCACAGACTGAATTCAGGCACAGGAGCTCCTGAGAAAAGGTGACACTGGGATTTGCCTCACCTCAAAACATCCAACCCACTCTTACAGTTGAGAAATTATTTCTGGCACAGACACCCTGCTCAATTTAGTGGTAGCAGAGAAAACAGCAACAGCCTAGCAATGCCATTCTGGCATCTCCACAGCTTTCTTTGGGTTATAATTTTACTTCCACTTTGAAAAGTTGCACTTTAAACCCTAACCTGTATATTCAGGCACCAAAAAGGTGTTGAAACTTACATATGGATTTTGCTTCTCCTTCTAAATTGTGGCTGACTTCTGCCTAATATTGGCTCTTCGAACCCCACTTCTGTTGGAACATAACATCCATGTGATTGAAAATAAAACAAGGACTTGTTTTTACAAGCTGGTACTCTAAGGGCCTGATCCTTAGACTACCGAATTTAGGAAATTCTCCTATTAAATTAAATAGAATTTGAATCAGAGCCCAACACTGTTACTTCAGTATTAAAGCCTGGATGTCAACTTCATTTGTCATGAAAGCCAGGCAGGACCTGGGTGACAGAGGCTGAAAATAATTCCCAATTGACAAGAACTAATGTAGACCTATATTTCTTCAGAAACATACCTAGAAACTACAACTGCCTATACTTGCAGTTATTCTTGCCTATACTTGCAGGAATGTTGCAAGTGGGACCATTTAGATATATATACACACACACATATATTAACATCTTAAATTTACATACTGTATACATGCTTTATATTCAGCATTCTTACCTACTATAGCATATGATATTATAATATTAAGGAATTAAATATTTTTTCAATAATTTCATTCTAGTAAACAATGTTC